AAGGACCTGAGGGAATCAAGTTCTCCAGCACACTTTGCTCAGCCGATGAACCCTTGTTACAGTTCTACATGGGTTGAATGGCCAAAGGTTTCCTGGTAAACTGCTCTGAATTCTTACCCCGTGCTTAGTATTATCCCAAGATTCTAAGATACAGGATTTTCCTTACATGCTATGGTACAAAAGTGTGAACAACTGTCTTGTGGTTACTTTTGCAATGACAAAATAGCCTGTGTACTACTTTTTCATGCAATTTCGAGGCAGAAACATTTATTATAGAACACCCATAATTACAAACACTCTTTAAAAATGGACAAATCTTTTCAAGTCAAATTACCTTCTGATCAAAACTTCCAATCCACAGCAAGTTGAGTGATTTTTTTGTTGTTGTCTGGGGGCTTATAGCCCAATTAATACCACTCTAATAGGGATGAAAGATCTTGTTTTAACCCTGCCATGACAAAAGAGCTCACCATATTCCTTGCCATTGCAGTATGCTTTCGAGGCTTTAAATCATTCGTAGGTAATTAGTTGTCCATCTTCATAGTCTTTCAAATCAAAGAGCTTCTTCTTTCTTAAGATTCCTTCTTTTTATTTTAGAATAGTAGCATCTAGAGATCATGCTGAGGCTTATTTTTTCCACCTCTAACTAACTAGAAATTACCATCAAATAAAAAAAGAGCCTAAAATATGCCTCATTCTGCTTTAGTAGGTAGGTATTTGCTAATCACCTGCTGTACATGAGGAACATAGAAGTACAGGTCTGCCAAGCATTTGCCTCCCTTTTTAAAAGACTTGTCTTCACAGCTATAGGTGTAGTCAGTGCGGAGCACATGGGCTTAATTGGGCATGGAAGGAACCCAGTACCATGAGAAAGGACGGTGCACTCACTGGTGAGATACTTGCTAACACGGGACTGGACTGTGTAGGTATAATGCACAGAGTCTAGGCTTGGGTTTCTCATGTATAAGACCAAAATGAAGCAGCCATTTTTGGCATTGGAACTGGTTACATTCTTGCTAATTGTAACATACACATGAAACAGTACAGAAGCAATCCTAAAATTCTACTCATTTTTTGTAAGTGCACTAAAGCCATAGGAGAAAGAAAATTGTAGATCTAACTCGTTCTTAAACATAGATATTGAAAAGAACTCTTATGAGCCTGGTCTGGTGGGCCCACTCTCTTAACCCCAGCACTGAAGAGGCAGAGGCAGGTGGGTGTCTATGAGTTGGAAGCCAGCTTGGTCTGTATAACAAGTTCTAGGACACAGGGCTGCATAGTGACACCAAAACCAAAAACAACAAACAAAACCCAACAACAACATAAAGCAAAACAACCCACCAACCCCACCAACCGACTGCAAGACTGCTATTGCAACAGAGTCAATCTGTCTGTCCCAAGGCTTTGCCAGTGACTGCTCCAAGGTCAGGACTTTGTCTCCTTGTTGTCTTTTTAATAACTTCTTTCTTAGTCAAAATAAGCAAAACCAAAACTAACACACCCAAGCTAAGCACTGACTCTACAACATTGAAATAGGCTTTCTTGACTCTTAAAGCAATCTGCGACTTGTCATAATTCTGTATTCTTTTGTTCTGCATTTTAAGTTATTTTTCCTTCCACCAGAATTTCAAAGAAATTCAATAAATTCTCACACACTTTGTTGTATACTCTGATAAGCGTTATAATAGAAAATGCAGATCATTTTTCTGAGTAAGGCAGGGAATTAAAAATTAAATGAACTAAGAAATATACATTACTTCGAGGAAGTCACCCCCCCAAAACAAATGAATTTTGTAGATCCACCCTCCCAACAAACACTCTGTGGTCAAGAGTCATGGCACCAAATATTCAGAATCTGGCATATTGGGTATTTTCACAGGGTTGGTTTGAAAACAATATTAAAGGTCTCATTACTTGAAACAGACTGCTATTTAATTCAAGCTTCCCATTTAGGGTTAATATTTTAGAAAGACCCACATCAACCGTTCTGAGATCTTTTCTCTTCTATCCATGTGCACAGCTCATGAAGCGGTGTGGACTGCATACAGACCTGCATAGATGGGGGAGCACCATGTTCCTCACAGCTCCACATGTCAAAGGAATGTGAGAGAGAACTTGCCTATCCAGCTGTCTGCCAGAAGTAGGGCCTTCACTGTGGAAATTACCTGCTTACAAACAATGTCAATATAGGAAAGGGACCTCAGAATTATTTTCAGGACGGAAGCCTTAGCTTCATGATAAGCATCACTGTTCTTCCTTTCAAAATAACAATACCTAAATTCATAATCTCAACTGATTGGTGATCTTTATGCAGACTTTTTTTATTTTATCCCTGACAAGTATGGTCATTATTCAACAACAATCCACCCTCCCAAATTTTTATTATTCAAACTTGAGCAGTGTACGTTTTTAAAAGCAGTTCATCACAGAACTGATGAAAACTATGCAGAGAATTGGATGTCTGACTCTGTTCCTCTAGAGCTGCACCTCCCAAGCTCCTCCTCATGACCCCAATGCATTTATTTTTGAGGAACACTTGCCATCCTTGATAAGAGGAAAATGGCTTCATGCCTTTTTAATACATTTTCTGAATCATTTAACCCACATTTCTCCATTCTGCATTTTACTGAAAAAAAAAAAAAAAACTATATATTGGCAGCTTAATGACGCCCTTGGCTTGAATCCTTTCTATCAAGTCTTTAATATCATTAATTGCTAAAGTAAGATATTAAAAGTGGGCTTTGACTGTTTTAAATTGTATTCATTTCTGGCTCACGTTGAATCCTGGACACATGAGACCTGTGCACATCCCTATGGTTGTCTTCTGAGGTTCACATTTAAGCTATACTTTGTATCTCTAGTAATTTGATTTGGGGAGAAAAAGAATCTTCATCAGTGAAGGACTGCCAGGACCCCAACTGCTTCTTAAGTAGCTGTAATAGAGAAATAGTGTTCCAACCCACCGTGTGTTCCAATTTCAGCTTCAAAGATGCGTTTTCGTCCATTGTTGGGGGTATACCGTATCCATGTGTACATCACGTGGTGCAGTCCCTTCTTTCTGAGTTTCATTACTTTTCTTGGGAGGATCAGTTTTACAACAGGAATCAGAAAAGCAGTAATAGTAATAGTAATTACAAGTAGTTTGGGAGCATATGTTCCAATATAAAAAAAAAAAATCCCATAACTCCAGGCACTAATTTTCCAGGACCAGAAGGGGTAATGTACATGTTCAAGTGCTTCTTTCCATAGCATCCTAATGTCCCTGTCAAGTATTTTTTTCTTCTCCAGGGATGGGCACTCATTATCTCTCTAGGAAACCTACTGCCCTCTTGATTCTGAGTATTTTAAAATGCAGTTCCTTCAGAACTGTAACTGTCTCATACTCAGTTAAGCCTCTTCTGATTCTCCCAGGTAGCTTATCCCCATCTCCTAGTTTTCCTTTGCTTCTATATGTATTCCTTTCTGAATGGAAGAGTATTGATTTTCTTAATCACTGTGGTTGCTGTCCTTGGAAGAAACTCAAATTTACTTCTGATTCTCTTAAGGTATTGTGGTAATGGAAAATTGGACTTTAAGGCAGAATATCTGCAGTAAAGAACAGCTCTGCTATTTATTGTGTTGAAACTGGGAAAATTATTCATTTCTTTTGGTTGGGGGATTATAAAAGTGGGAAAAAAAGATAGGGGACTATGGTCTAAATATGCAGTAAACAAGTTTAAAAACGACTTAGCATATTGCAACCTGCATGATATAGCATGCCAATGGGACCCTGAGAACTCAGGCCAGGTCTAACTGGAGGCTGTTTTATGATGAGGAAAGAGACAAAATTGCTCTAGGCTGTAAGTGGAGCTAAGGTGGGAGAGGAACATTTTCTACCAACTAAAGCAGGCCAGTGTCTAGAGATTAGAAAACGGGGTGTAGGGCTCTATAGATAAGGGTTTGGGTTTTATTGAAAGTATAAGGGCAGACCACTGTTGGTTTGTAGAAGACACAGCTTCTACCCATTGAGGAACCTACTAGAAAAGACAAAGGTAAAAGTGTCACAGTGAGTTGGGAGGCAGTTGTCATGGTCCAAGGAGAGGCTCACTTGCAGCTTCTAAGGACAACCCTGTGAATTTTAACCGAGAAAATCTACTTTCCAGAGGTTAAGCCACAGGCAAAACAGACAGGCTGCCCTGGGTTAAACCTGACTTCATCACCAACTTAGGCAACTCGGTTTTTCTTTTTCTCCTTTTTCAAAAGATGATCATGGCTGGAATTAATTGAAATTGTTCTTATGATGATTCAATGAATTTATATATAAGTTAGCAGTAGCTAAGTCTGCACTGAATAATTTATTACTATGATATATATGTTATACCTTCTATCACATCCTCAGACTCAGACATTCTTCCTTTGTTTAGTTTTTGTCTGGAAATGGTGAAAAATGGCAGTGAAGAATATTACTGGATTATTTATTGACCTTTTCAAACTAATTTTTTGCTGGAGCAGGAGAGAAAAGAGAGAACCTGTGAGAGAGAGAAAAATAATTTTATGGGACATCTGTTTTTTGGGGGGTTGTTGTTGTTGATGTTGTTGTTGTTGTTTGGGGTTCTATTTGTTTTGTGCTGTTTAGTCTTCAGATAGGGTCTCACTATGTAAAGACTCCCAGACTGTCTTGGAACTACCTCTATAGACCAGGCTGCCCTTGTACTCACAGAGATCTGCTGACCCTTCTCTCCTGAGTTCTTTGACTAAAGGCATGCTCTACAACCCCAGCTTCTTCTGTTATTTTGGGTTTGGGCTTTGGTGTTTTGGGTGATGTACTTACATTATCAAGGCACAATACCATGGATGTTGCACATTTTAACATGATAATACATGGTCTTAATCTGGCTTAAAACTCAAACTTCTGTATATTGAGATCCCTGTAATTGGACGTGGAATGCTAATACAACAGTGATGCTGGTCAGTGCCAGACAGCTTTCTGATGTGTTTGAATAACATTCCTCATTCTCCAGGTATCCCAGGAAGTGACTATGTGAATGCCAACTACATAGACGGCTATAGGAAGCAAAACGCATATATTGCAACACAGGGATCTCTTCCTGAAACATTTGGGGACTTTTGGAGAATGATCTGGGAGCAACGGAGTGCCACAGTTGTCATGATGACCAGACTAGAAGAGCGATCCCGGGTAAGGATGAAAATCCACTTCTTTAAATATTCCCCCCATGGTTTCCATGCTGCACATTTTATTCTATTCAGAAGGTAAACTTTCCCTGAGGTTTCACTTTTTAAACAATCGTTCATAGTGAATGAATATCCAAAATTCTGATTAAACTGAGTTTTAACTCTTCTGGGAAAGGCTGAGAACACTGCTCAGACCCTTCATCCTAGCATTCAGCAGGGCTACACACGCAGAGCCTATCCCCCCCAAAACAACAGAAAAATAAGCCTTCCAAATCTTTTTAAAAAGGAAGTTCCTTCATCAGCGTGGTTGTGATTGCTAAAAGGAAGAGTGGCATTCAAAGACATAGTTTGGTTACAGAAAATAAATATTAGCCTGACCCTCTTCCTAAAGTTCACATGGACAAAACCCCACAGGCTATGGGAAGAATCCAGATGCATATTGCCATTTCCACCTTCTTCCCCTTCACAGTGTGTACTATGAAGTCTAAACTGTGAGAACAGCTCATGCTGAAATTATTCAAATTGGCATAAGTTAATTCAGGGCAGCCAGAAAATGACACCGCTTAGCTTGCGACTGAGAAAACACAAACGTGTAGAGGGCATTTTGCTAATTTAGCCTTTTCTAAAATGAAGAGGTTTTAATAGCAAGTCATTACTTGTTAAGGCCCAAGAAAATAGTCTCAGCCATCATATGGGTCCAATATTATGCCACATTAGTTAAATGCTGTTGATTTGGAAAACTAAAACATAACATATGAGCACTGCACCCGATCCCCCACTGAATCAGCAAATTCCACAGACAGCTGAGGAAAATCAAGCTTTAACCTTGAGAATTGAACAAAGGAGATCTCTGAAAACCTCACACACTGTCACACGGAAAGCTGAGGACTTTCAAAGCTGAGTTTGAGGCCACAGGTAGAAAGGGCTCTTGGCCTTCCAGCCTATAGAAGCCAAAGCCAGATTCCCCATTTACTGTGACAGATGGGAGCCTTTATGTCTTCTAAGCTCAATACACGGCCTAGCTGTATAGATGACACAAGAGGTGACGGCTGTCCAGACAACTTATAAGGGGAAAGCTCACATAGAAGAAAATATTAGAAAGCCGCTCTGCTGCCTTAGAAGTGAGAAATAACATGCTGTGGTATGGAGCTGGTTTAGCAACCCTGAAAAGCAATAGGATCCTATCAGATGCCTGAATTCCATAGAGCTGTTCAAATACCATCTGAAATAAATGTATATAGAAATGTCTGTAACTCTGAAGACAAATATTTGTTCCATGTTTCACATGCACACCCCAATCAAAGGATACAAATGGACCCATTATTAACTTCTACTCGATCCCCTACAGAGCTCCAACCCAAATGATCCATATATTAGTTAATGATTATAACCAATGTCTAACCTAGGTTACGGGCACTGGCATTCCATTAAACCCTTGAGACGGTTGCTGGTGTGATCTTTGCTTTCCATACAAGTAAAAATTACAAAAGGTCAATGAAGGTCACCCAGCCCGCAAAGTCAGAGATCACTGAAGACCCACATGCTGGCCCTAGATCACTCATCCTTCCTCATCAGGCCATACTGCCTTGAGACACTCCTATGAAGATAGTAGCCAAACTATTATATTACACCATGCATGTAAATCTACCCCACCAGGTTTGCTCTGCCTAGAGATACCAGCTGGTAACAAGCAGTCATTTGCAAAAGCTGTTTTCAGTAAAACACACATTTTATCTTGACACTGCAGGCCTTCATTAAACTATGCACAGAAACTTGTTTTGAAATAACCAAATGAAATTCTGCACCCTTCCTCCCTCATTGCTTCTAATAATAAAGTTACCTCTCACTGGCCCCACTACCCGCACGACATCAGATAGGAATGAGCAGGGCTTGGCAGAAGGCATTGTGACTTAAATACTTGCAGTTTATCTGTCTGTTGCAGGCTAGCTTTCTTCAGACAGTGGAACTTATTTGGAAGTTGCTAAATGAACCTTTGTTTGCTCCCTTCATTAATTACTCTTGGCTCCTTTGAGTTGGCTTTCTCCTTTGTTAAATGGCCTAAGGCGGCCAATTAAAATGCTGTCCTGTGATGGTTTTTTTTTTTTTTTGAATTCTGTGGTGGTTTAGCATGTACCCAAGTTTATGATGACCTGCATTAGTCACTCAGCAGTTGGGCAGTCTCAATCTTCATTAGTCTGACAGAACAAGTGAGTCCTGACCCCCAACATCCAGAGCCCTTTGTTCCCCATTCCAACACATTTTGGGAGAAGGTCCAAAGGTCATGGACACATTTAACAAAGCTCAGCTAGCTCAAGTGATCTCTGTTCATCTCCCTCCCTCACACCCCACAGCCCTTTTCCCCGTCTAGTTGCTCTTTCATCAGAAGCAGCAAGAAGAAAACTTTGAATTTCACTATAAAAATAATGTTAGAAAAGTATTGGTTAGTTGTTGCTGAGATTTATAGCTCCATATTTTAGAAATGTTATAAGCCAGGAGAACTTGAATCTCACCAGCCAACATCAAAGCAAACATTGAACCAGTGCGGTTCTACTGAAGAATTGCCTATAGTCTCCCTCAAAAAGAGAAGTGGCCTTGAGTGTTAAAACAAATTATCTGTCTGAGGGTCGATGCCTGAAATTTATTTAGATGAAGGCTCAAATCTTCAATAATATTCGACCCCATGTTATGTAAAATACGCATTGTGTGTATTTGTGTGTTAATGTCGGTTACAGTGTATCAGGAAACAGCCGAGCACTGAGCAGTCCCAATCCAAGGAGCACCCTGCCCTTGAGTGTCTCAGCAATAGCCAATAATGCCACTTTGGTGGGTCTCAAGCTACAACTCAAAATGCTATGAAACTTGTGTTTATCCCTTCCCCATTACTGATATGTGAGATTATAGCATGGCTCCAGAGAAGGCTTAGATGGGCTTAGATGCAAGAGTTGTACAGAAATTAAGGTATCTTTTACTATTAATGGGGTCTCTGGTAAGATTCCTGGGAAATTACAGTTCTACAGCTGGGAAAGAAGAAAGACCACATACACTTAGAGTTTAGGCATGGTTCGTTGCTGATTGACATTTTAATTTGAAACCTCTCTCTATAAAAGATTGTCTCTGTGGGCTGCCTTCCCAGCAGATGCTAATTGTGCTGAGATTCTTGACTGTCAGCAGATGACAACTCCGGCCAGACCCAGGCCAAGGGGCTTGCCTCCCTTCCCGTGCTCCATAATTTTTCCTGCCACATTAACATTTTTGTGAGTTAGAATACCTATTGGCTACAGATTATGGTAGAGAATAGAGAAAAAAGAAAGGGAAGATAGCCACTACACATGGGGGAACCACCATCAGAGGGAAAAGCCTCATGAGGAACAGAACACTATCAGGTGGGCCTACTTTGCCATCAAATCCTAGGCCAGGTCTCAACTCTAGTCAGTCCTAGTAGGTACATGACAGTGAGCACATAAATTGGCCCCTCAAAGTCTCCTTTCTTCTTTGGTGTGTATGGAAAGGTTATTGTGGGTGTTGATTAAATTAAGGGACTCAACAATATAGCTCTGAGTCTCAAGTGTTGTTTGGTTTGGAGGTTGTTGGCTTTACCGTTACAACTCCAAAGCTGGCTTCCAAATAACACAGTTTTTGTTCCCCAATGAAATGCCTTTGTTTCTCTGTGGTAGGCAGTGAATCTGGAGCAGTCTCATAATCACTACCCATGGTACTTTCCACTCTGTTCCCAGTGGCTCCCCTATGCATCCGGGTCAAGGAGAGGAGGAGCTCAGATCACAGTCTTTTGTACCTGTTACCTCCAGAACATACTTTCCAGAATTCAGATCTTGACACAGCAAATTTGTTAATTCCTCTGCAAATAGACCAGGAAAGGACATATTCCTGTACCTACTGCATCCAGTGTAGCCCTGTTCCAAAGTATGAAAATCTTAAGTAATAAAGATGTGGGTTGCCGTAGTGATAATTGTCACTAAAGATGTTATATACCACGTGTGCTTCTGTTTCAGTTTTTCATTCCTTCCCCTGTCCTTTTCTTATTTACTTTGGGATGCTAAGGATTCCCCTGGGAGAACTGGTCCGTTTGCTAGCTTTCTGTTTTATCTGGGTCTGGCTGACATTCACTGGGACCTGAGGTTTACCAGCAGTGCTGTGACCCACAGAGTTAAGACAGCTTGCTGATACAAAAGCTGCTGGGTTCTACAGAAAGTACCAGAAGCTTCACATTCTTATCATTGAAGACAAAAGACCTTACAAGTGTGAAATGCTGTTTAGGATTTAAGTTGCTGATCTTGAAAACTTAGGGTCTTTGAAATTCATGTATATTGACTCTCTGTCAATTGTGGCCTTGAAGGAATCTTATACTTTAATGAGGCTATTTACATTTTGTGAACATTCATCAGCTAGCAAAGGTCATAGTTTCCTTTCCAAAAGCAACTTAGGGGAGAAAGAGTTTATTTTAGCTTACAGCTCCAGGTTAGATCCATCCTTTGGGGGTGGGGGGCAAGTACTTGAAGCAGCATCACATCACATCCGTGGTCAAAGGCAGAATGGAGTGCCAGTCTGTACCTACCTCTCTTTTCCCTCTTCCACAGCTCAGGATTCCCTGCCTAGAGGATGGTGCTGCTCTTCCCACTTTAATAAATGTAATCAAAGTAATCCCCCCACAGGCTTGCTCACCAGCCAAGAGGGTCTAGACAATGCCTCATGGAGACTCTAAGAAGACTGTGTCAAATTGACAATTAAAATTAGTCATCACACCATCCCTGAACATATAGGCATAAATTGACCAGTTTATATAAATTTCACTAGAGTATGTAAAGAAACAAAACAAAAGTAAGTCTACAAGCTGGAAGTTTTTAGCTGATAGCCGCCTGAGGCTCACAGATCAAGTTAAAGCCACTGTGGACTGTGAGGTGATAAAAGATACTGAGTGGGTTTTATTCCAGTTTCCATTAGAGTTGCCAAGTCCTCTCAAGTTCCGTGTAGTTCATTTGTTGGGTA